ATCAAAACAATAAGGATTAATGAGCAAGCCCCCTCCACCCCAGCTAAGGTACGGAATAACCTTATATCTTTTCACAGCCTCCTCGACTCAAACAGCTACATTGGTATCACTATCTTAAACGATAACACTAATACTTACCATCCCTCAACAACAAAATAGTGGGTAACATTCATCCCCACTCTAAGTGCCTCAAGAGCCTGTTTTGTATTGACATCTTCATCAAATAATGTCTCGTTTATTCATACACAAAGCAACACAAACTCTTTCTCCGATGCTAATCCTACAAATGACAAGCTACTGTGCATACCTTGCTGAACTCAGCAGCATTATCAAAATAAGCTAAGACGATATTAATTAGGCCAAAAACAGATAATTTCACGATCACAACAAGTAAAACTCGAAAACCCAGCCATGAAAATTCCATCCATTTCCCAAATGTTCAGGAAAATCAAACAACGGAAGTAAATTCCAAATCCATCACAATGTAACAAGTAGGGTATTGAATAAACCTGGAACGGCCAAACGTGAGGGTGGGGAAGGGCACGGAAAATCTCTTTGATCTGAGAGAGACGGCGCTCGTACTCTTTGAGATCGATGAAGTCGCCTCGTTTGAAGTACACCTTGACGAGGACTAAGCCCTCGTCGTGCTTGCAGAGAATCGACTTGAAGAACCGGCCTCGCCCAAGTACCTCTTTCAGAACCAGATTATAGCTTGAAGGAAGGTCGTGAAGGTAATACTCCGAGGCGGAGACTTGGGTTGTTCGTGCAATTTTGTTGCCCATTCTATTGACTCGAAATCTCTCCTGAATATTTCATCGGAATTGCTTGCTTCTGTGCTTCCGTAGTCTCTGAAGATGAGACGACGGTGCACTCTATCAATCTGATTTCGTACCGCTACGAAACTCCTTGCCAATAATTTGTTAATATACGTTTGCGTGATTGCGCTTCATATCGATCGGAGTTCTTGGCTGCCGCAAATATTGGCCGGGATTTCCCCATCTGCACTCAAGAGGTGCCACATCGGGTTCACTATTTTTCCTTTTTCCCTCAAATCCCAATATCCTTCGGGAAAAATAAATAATAAAATCGACGGTTCAATTATCAGTAAATTTTAATTCACTGAATATTTGAAATCATTTTTATACTTGTGAATTAAAAAGGTTTTTGAAACCTCGAAATTAAATTAAAAAAATTAAGAACAAAGTGTAATTTGCAGTTTCTTTTAATGAATATTTAATTTTATATTTCTTTATCTTGCGTATCATAAGTTTGTTTTATTTTAAGTTAAAAACAAAAACAAATTCAAATTTATGATTCTGAATAATAGGACAAAAGTTGGTTGTTATTTTACTTGGCCGGTTTCTTTTCCCCTGTTTCTCGAGTTATCTCCCGGACCCAACCGGACCGGCTATCAGGACTGCCAACTTATCCGGTTCTTCTTAGTTCCGTAAATAGAATGGCAGACGTGTTTTGGATAATCACGAATCAAATTTTTTTAAATAAATAAATTAACTATCTACTTTGAAATTAATTTTTACCCTGTGTTAAAAAAAATATCTCAGATCTAACTCTCATTTGGATATGTGGTTGGTGATTTCTTTGTCTTTCTTTATTTACCCACTAGTTTCAAGGTAAAAGTTCCCATTTGGGTCTAAATGGTGACATTTTTCTACCGACTTTAAAACAGTAAAATTTGTATTAAATTAACGTTAATATTTATTTTTTCTTTCATTCGTTCTTCCCACTTCATCTTCTTCGTCTTGTTCCTTCTTCTACCACCACCACAACCTGTCGATGTCCATTGGTCCTTGCTGACCACTGCAACTATTTCTTCTACCACCACCACAACCTGTCGATGTCCATTGGTCCTTGCTGACCACTGCAACTATCGTTGGTTACTATTGCCTTGAGGTATTAAAGATACCATGGACGATCTTGATTCAAATTATAAACCTATGTTGTATGTGAAAGCTTCTTACTATGGGTTAATAGTGACTTTGTGACTTTTGCCACCTTTGATAGTTGAACAATGGGATCAACTTTAGAGGAATAGATTATAGGGGCAAAATGGACATTTGTCACATATGTGATTATCAACAAATCAACCGGTCAAATTGTGATTATCAACAAATCAACTTTTATGTAATAATTATATTAATAAATACAAGTTGATTGAGAAATCTAGAATGACCTAGAACTAATGAATTTAAAAATTCAATTAATTAATTTTGTATTATTAGAGTTGATAATATGTATAGAATAAAATATTAATTTGATTAACAAAAATTTAATGTTCAAAACAATGTTAAAACAGAAAAGTAAATTTAATTTAAAATTATAAAATTATTATTTTATATGTTAAATATTAAAAATAGTATTTTTAGATCCGAAAGTAAGGAAAGATAATGAAATTCAACCTTGAGATACAAAATAGCATTTTAGCCTCCCAAAAAAATCTATTTCTGTAACCGTGATCCCGAAGCATAAAATCGTTTAGACCCACAAAAAAACCCTAAGAAATCAGTGCATATTATAAACGAAACTCACTGTCGCCAAGCTTAACACGGATCCACTGCCTAACTCTCACGCAACGCGTTTCTTTCTTCCGTTCCTACCGAGTTATAATAACCATAACAAATTTTCAGTCACTCGGCAAATCAGAGATCGAAACAAACCGACACAAGTAAAACGAAATACATTACCAGCGCCATCAATTAGTAATCGTGAAAGCAAATACGAAAGTCAATTTTCAGATTTCTGCGGTACGCACATACATTTTCCCTCCGTTTTTCAATTTTCCCCCTCACATATGATCCAGCCATAAAAGAAACAAAGATCGACATTGAAATTTTGAAATAACAAGAGAACTGTACAAAGGAAGCGTGATTTTATTGAAATGGAAAACCACGTATTACCGTCCATGACAAATATTTACAGATCTCGGACTCGAGATGATCTAACACGTTATTGTCGTAGTCAAACCGCCACCGCCACCGCCACCGCCTCTTCCGGATCTTCGAAGTTAGGGTCCTTCACGTCCATATCTTCAGCCTTGAAGCTGATCTCAGCCGGTGAGTAACCATCTCCCGCCCAAGTAAACTTGCCGCCATGGCCTCCTTTCTTCGGCGATCCGCTCATCCCCGTCGCCGATTTCCGATCCTTCCGCACATCGGATTTACCGCTTGGCTTCAGGCTCTTCTCTGGCTTCTTCATCTCGTTCTCGAAATTCGTCGGTTCGTCTCTCTCAACGTCCGAGTGAGAATTGGACTGAACTATCCTTTTTATATAAAGGCGAGGGACCTAATCTGAGGTCATCGTCGATCTATGGGCATTCCTTCTGCGGTTTGATTTGATGATTTGGCGATTTCAAGCGGATAAGAACGCCAGGGTTTACGGTAGAGATGTTCCTCTGCTTTCGAGCGTATGCTACAATTCGTAGGACCGGATAAATTTTATGCGCGAAAGTACGATCTTAGCCCTTGAATTTACTTTATCTTTTAAGATACGTGTTAGATAAAGAGATATTTTAGTTTTTTTAAATATATTTTGGTCTATTCTTATATTTTTTTAATTTATAAGCATTATTTTAAAGAGCCCTTATTTATTTATTTGAGTACGTGTCCTTAGTTATTATTCTACTATAGCCATGGATGAAATTTTGAGTAGGTAGGGGTTAATTAAATGCTATTTAATAAAATTCTTTTTAGAAAAATAATGGTTTTAATTTTAAAATTATAAAGAAAATCAAACTTTACACCAACACCTACTTTTTAATCGTTAAAACTTAATTAATGTGTATTTTTTTTTATGTATCTTGCTAAATAATTTTTTATTCAACTCTATTTTCTAATAGATTTATAAACTAGATCCCAAATTAGACTATTATTTAAATATGCTTTATGTTTTTAAACTATATAACGCTTGTAGTTGCTGTTATTAAATAATAGAGTAATATGGACTATTAACATCACCCATTAATAATTAAACATGACATATGTAAACTTTTTATAATCATTGTTGTATTGACACTATATAATTTATATTATCTTATGTTATACATATTTTATATTGGTAGAAAAATGTTATACGTTCTAAAGTTTCTAATGATATGGAAACAAAAAATGAAAAAAAAATTATTATATAATCAAATATGGAATAAAACATCCAAAACTATTTTTAAAAATAATTTTTCTGCATAGATATTCCTTAAATCATTTTATTAGTTTTAATTTAAAAATGGAGAGATTATTATATAAACTATTTACTTTATATGTCCGCCTTTTAAAATTTAGTGATGGTTCCTTAAGTAACTTGTTATTTTGGTCCAAAACTACTTTAAACAATATTCAATGTGTTAATTAGTTCTAAAAAAATATTTAATAAATTAAAATCTTGTATAAAAAAATTAGAACTATATTTGGTTAAAATTGAGAGTTTAATGCTTTACTAACGATTTTTAAAATTTAATTAACTAAAAAAATTGATTTACTCAAATATGTAATTATGAAATTCAGGAAGATGAAATGATACAAAAAGAAGAAGATGAAATGATATAAAAATAGCTCTCTAGCAGATGCGTTTTAAGATTGTGATGTCGATGACAATATGTAATTAAGATTGTGATGCTGATGACAATATGTAATAAGTTTAAACGAACAATATTTGCTAACAGTGAGTTTTAACGGTGAGTGGTGTGCTAGCGAGGGTAAACTGGCAAGGAGGTGGATTGTGAGATCCTAGTTGATTAAAAAAGGAACAAAACCTTCATCTTAAGAGTGTGAAAACCTCTCGTTAAACACGGCTCTAAAACTGTAAAGCTGACTCCATAGAATTAAAACAAACAATATTTATTAATTAATGGTTAAAAAAAAAAATATCATGGCAAGTCCGCCTCCGGTCAACCAACAAATTGTTCAATTGGGATTGAGCCATGGAACCCAAGCTGCTGCATCGTACAAATGGATTTAAAAAAATAACAATAATAAAATAAAAAAAAAAAAAAAAAAAAAAAAGAAGGGGAAACTCTCTGAGCCCTAAAATGCAGAGAGAGAAACAGAGAGGATCAAAGAGTGGCGGAATGAAAAAGCGGGATATCGTATGAGGAGAAAGAATATATATGCATTAAAAGACAATGTTAGCTCTGTTACTCGCGCCGGCTCCGCCTTCTCCATTGCTCGCTTTCAATCGATTCCCTCCCATTTCTTCCCCCTCTTCCATTCCTGCTGCTGGTAAGCTCTGAGATTTCCACCTTTATCATTGCTTATGGAACTTGTTATTTCGAGTACTTTTATTTTATTTTTTTTGTTTTCCTTTCTGTTTGATTCCTAACTCTGAATGAATAAGAAAATGGTTGGGTGGGGACTTGCAAAATGCTCCGAGTGCACTATGGTTTTGCGCCTTTTTTGATGGTCAACTTGTTTGTTATCTTCGCTGTGATTAATTTGCGTCTATGATGATGGTTCGCAAGTTCAATTTCTAGTCTTCGTGTTTTGTTTTCGTACTTATAGTAATTCTTACTCTCCATCTGAAACTAGACAGACCTTCTCCGGGCGGCATCTAGGCGACTTATTTCTGCTACGAAGACGGCACAATCGATATCTACAATGGCAACTGTAAGTTTTTATGGAGTATTTTGTTCTTTAGTTTATTCCACTTCTGTTAGAACGGATTCGTTTGAGTTTATGAGTTGTTTCCGAGGCTAAATGTTGGCGTTCTGGCACAGGAGGAAGAAAACGTCGGTAATATCAAGCGACAATTAGCTAAAATATTCGAGGTGTCCCTCAGAGCAACGGTCCCCGAGGAGACGGATGTTGAGCCTTTGGTGGCTGCTTGTGCTGGAAAATTTGGCGACTATCAGTGGTATGTTATGCGAAATATTTTAGTTAAAGCTGGAGTAGATTAGATTACTGTTGCTAAGTTGAGGTTTCTTATTTGGCTAAGCAATAATGCGATGGGCCTTTGGTCTAAAATTAAAGGAAAAGGAAGTCAGTTTAAGGGCCCCCCTTCCGTTGGACAGGTATTTACAGTGTGCTTTTCTATAATTCTTTTTTTTTTCACGATGGTTTAGGGTAATTTTTTTCTAAAATTATTTTAATCATTGAGATTCTGACATAAGTTCTCTCTTGATTTCTAGGCCATCATGAAAAATCTTCCTCCATCTGAAATTATAGAATCAAGTTCTGTGGCAGGCCCTGGTTTCGTGAATGTAGTAATATCTAAGAATTGGCTTGCTAAGGTAGTGCCATTTTCCTGAAATTTGTTGTTGGAATAACTCATGTGAAGTATAAGGTAGTAATATCAATAGATCTAACATGTGTTTGAAGCATGCTTATTATGAATTTTCTGTTACAGAGCATACAAAAAATGCTAATTGATGGTATTGAAACTTGGGCTCCTCGTCTTCCGATTAAAAGAGCAGTAGTTGATTTCTCATCGCCTAATATAGCAAAAGAAATGCATGTTGGCCATTTGAGATCTACGATCATTGGAGACACTCTAGCCCGAATGCTTGAATTTTCAAATGTTGACGTTCTTCGAAGAAACCATGTTGGTGATTGGGGAACACAGGTACAGCTTTGTATTTGCCATACCTTAAGACAGTTTCTTTGTTATAGGATTGAGTATTTTTTTCATGGTGTCTTGCGTTGTAATAGAAAAGTGTTTTTTTTCCCCTTTCATGAACTGCCTAAATTGTTACTCTTTGAAAATGTACATGAAAACTGAATTTATTACTAGTTGGCTGATTTTGCCGCAGTCCTTTTCTGCCATGTCCAGTCTACCTTCAAACTAGGCAGTCTTAGTTTTGAAAATGTAGAAAACTTTGCAAATATCACACACTAATTCCTGCCTTTCAATTGGCTTCAAACTTTTTTAGGTGCCAATAAAGTTTCTAAGTATTTGCAAAATTGATTTTGGCCTGGGGTTTTACTCTTTGGATAATAAACAGCTTCTACCGAAGAGGAATGTATCGTCCGATATTCATCTTTTGCTTATTGTTTGCAGTTTGGTATGTTGATTGAATTCCTTTTTGAAAGATTTCCGAACTGGGAAGAAGTTACTGAAACAGCTATTGGAGATCTGCAGGTAGGAGAGACATTTCAGAATCTCCTTTGGTTTTTAGCATGTTTTCCTTTTATAGTATACTGACAAAAATTTCTTCAACAAGGTTAAGAAGTTCAATACTTTTGATCTTACATCATGGACTGTCTACTGTTAAAGAAAGGAGACTTCACTCTTTACGTGATAAAATGTGTTTCATGAATTCTTACTTTCAATAAATGCCATAAATGGATATGGAGAGCTTAGTCTATCTGTCGTATCAAGTAGGACTGACAAACTGTTATTTGGAATTTTGATTAATTAGACATTCTATAAGGCGTCAAAGCAGAGATTTGACAGTGATCCTGCGTTTAAGGAGAGGGCACAACAGGCAGTGGTTCTTCTTCAGGTGATTTTTACTGTGGTGGCTAATATATATAAATTCTTCACTCCCTTATTCTATGTTAATTTTGTACTTTGGACCCTTGAGTTTCGAGCAAAAAAACTGTGTTGTAACTTTTTTTCAGTTGTCATTTACTCTAGTTTTATTTTTTCTACTGTGTCTACATGATGGCATGTATTGAATAGTAAAAAATGTTTTGAATATGAAAAATAACTAATTAACAAAAAGAAGTTCAACGCCTTTGTTTGCCCATCAATTTCCAAGATTTTTTGTATTCATGTTGATAGGTCTTTTTGCCTGGGGTTGAGTTTTTTTTTTCTTGTCTTGTCTAATTAGGTCTCTAGCTCCTTTGGTGCAGGCTTCTGTTTTTGGTTTTCTGTATGCCTGTGGACCTTTTGTCTTTGTTTTCTTTCATTTGTTCTCAATGAAAGCATGGTTTCTCAATAATAGATTTGAAGGAAGCCACAGTCAGGAATAAGCTTTATTTATTATTTTATTATTATTTCATCTACGAGTGTTCGACAAGCTTATGTTAGAATACTGGTAGGATTTAATATCTTTAGTAGTTGGCCACCATGGGATTTAAATTTATTCCCCAAAGTCTCATTTACTTATTTCACTTGTTTCAATCAGCCCTGTGAATGGAAATTAAATTTTCTAGCAGCATGTTTTTAGCATCTGCAAGTAGATTCAAAATTTAATTTTAAGGATCTAAGTTTAAAAATTGAAAACTTGAGTTTATAGGTTGAAAGAGAGCTACAATTGGACTCCACTTGATCTCAGCCAAAAGGCCGAGTAGTTTTTACTCATAGACTTATTATTTAGTCTTTTGCAGCTTGTTTATGGTTTATAGATTCCATGCCGAAGCATGATAGGGACATCGCAACTATTTGGAGGTTTCTCAGATCTAATTTCTGTTGAATTGAGCTTAATTTTTGTTTTACAGGGTGGGGAAGCTAAATATCGTAAGGCTTGGGCACAAATATGTGAAATCAGCAGGAATGAATTTAACAGGGTATATGAACGCCTTGGAGTTGAATTAGAGGAGAAGGTACGTTTTGGCTTTCCTTTGTATATTATATTAAATACTTGCTTCTCTTTCCTCATATAACATTTTACTCGTTTCTGCTTGTTTTTTCTCTTGTCCATTCTTTACTTGTTTGTGTGGGATTGGGCAATTCTTCCTTTCAAACGTCAGACCCAAGTTAGATTGTTTTTCTGGCATTTGATTTATTAGTTGGAATAGTTAATTTTTGATTAATGGCATGCATCCCACTATCAAACAGCGTCCTCATCTTCAACATGTTGAAGTTCTTCCGTCCTATTGATCATCATCTGATTTGCGGGGATATTTACTTGCAGCGTCATGAGTTCACCCTTCTGATTTTAACATTGATCTGAAGTACTGTCAACAGCTTATTCTCAGTTCTCATTTGGTTAAGATCTTTCCATCTCTATCAGGGAGAGAGCTTTTACAACCCGTACATTCCTAATGCCATAAAAGAATTGACTGATAAGGGCTTAGTGGAGGAAAGCCAGGGTGCTCGTGTAATCTTTCTTGATGGAATAAATATACCTCTAATTGTTGTCAAGAGTGACGGTGGTTTCAATTATGCTTCAACTGATCTTACGGCCATCTGGTCAGTTTTTCTCTATCCTACCATATTTTTAATGGAACTATTGTCACAGGTTATGAATAATTTGAAAGTTGACATTGTCAAAAAAAAAAAAAAAAAAAAACTTCAAAGTTGACATTCATCATCATCATGATTAATTATGACCTATCAATATATTATCTCCAAATAATGATCTACCAATTTTGTGCATGTTTGGATTCCCTCTGATTGCATGATTTTCAAAATTTTGTGGACCTTAGACATTCTAATTGGTCGTTTTTGCTTGCACCAAACAGGTATCGCCTTAATGAAGAGAAAGCTGAATGGATTATATATGTCACTGATGTGGGGCAGCAGCAGCACTTTGACATGGTTTTCCGGGTATGTGTCTGGAGCAATTCCTGTTCTGACATGATTTTTTTTTATCCGTTCATGTTCCTGGCATATATGGTTATTGGACTTGGTGGCTGCCCCTCTGAACTGTAGTTAGTAATTATTTGATGGATCTGTTGCTGGCTTGCGCAATGTTTTTAAACGCTCAAGGTGCACTAAGATGCCATGAACCTCTGGGGCTTAGGCACCACAAAAAAAGCTTTTTTTTGTAAGGGGCACTATGTAAGTATATATACACAATTAAAAGCTTTCATGGGAAGTAATGAAGTTTTAACCAAGAAAAATATATAAAAGATAAATAAGATTCGAGTATTAGTCTTTTAACATAGGTTCAAGTATTCTTGGACATGTATGCTTTAATTTCTTCCTTCACATGATCCAGTCATTTTCTATGTGTCGTTGCGTATCTATAACCACTACCAAGGTGTTGTTTATTCTATAAACTCCTCATTTGTTACTTTTGAACAAAAACCACAAACTAATGCATTTATATCATCATCATTATCCGAACAAGAAGGGGAAGGAACGAAAAAATAATAATAAACATAAAACTTTAAACGCAGAAGCCATTCCCTTTAGGGTTTTCATAATTTCTTAATAATAACTAACCTAAGCCCATCATTTTACTTTGAACCCTGGAGGCAAGCTAGAGTGCGCCTTCCTACCATAGGCAAGGTGCTTCAGATGCAACTTGTGCATAGGCGCACCTTTTAAAAAACACTGGCGTTACATCTCCTCTCTTTTGTTTGTACATATTATATGATTATTAATTGCTGTAGACCTGGTCATCACTGATCCACCAAACTGTTGCAAACAATTATTTAATGAATTGGTTATTGTCTTAAATTAATGAAGTGGATGCTTAAATTGGAAGTAATTATGGCTATTTGTTTCAGGCTTGTAAACGTGCTGGTTGGCTTCCACTTGATGATAATAAGCATCCCAAAACAACCCATGTCGGTTTTGGGTTGGTTCTTGGTGAAGATGGCAAGCGTTTTCGAACTCGAAATACCGAAGTGGTTCGTTTAGTTGATTTGCTTGATGAAGCCAAGAGCCGCAGTAAAACTGCACTTCTTGAAAGGGGTAATAATAATAATGACTGTTAAGAACTCTGTTTTATCTCTTTAAAAAAAAAAAAAAAAATGTGCAGCTTGCTGCTTTACGTTGTAAAATTTAGTGAAGGCCAACATGTTCATTTTTTTAAAAAACTTTTTGTGGTCAACCTTCCACATGTTTTACTATGTAATTGATTTTGTTTAACCTTCTTTAGAGAAAGCTGCAGAATGGTCTGAGGAAGATCTTGAACAAATTGCTGAAGCTGTTGGTTATGGTGCTGTTAAGTAGGTTACCATTTTCATTGTTGGCCGTACCTTTTTATGCCTCTTGTATGAATCCTATAGGTTATCCTCGATGTGCCTTTCAGTACTACTAATTGGTGCCCCTGTAAATGATTTTCATCATAACATAACAAATTTATCTCTGTATCTGTTGAGTATTAGTATATCTAGCACATTAGGCGTACTTAGGTTTTTAAGGATGCTGTACTGTATGTCTAATGATAGACTGTTATTGTGTTGCTGATATATAATCGGGGATCATAGCTAATCTTCTGGATCATTATCGTAAAGTTTGGATTTTATTTAGACTCCAGTATGTTAGGATTCACAATCTTCCCATATTGCCTGAAAGGTTGGAACTGAGTGGCTACTGAAAATTTAGTCTAATTCACTTGAAGCTGCTACCTGAACGGCTGGACCCATTATGAACAATGAATCTATGCTGCTTAACGCTGCATAGGATCTTCTAATTTATGAATTTAAATTCTGAAATGCCTGAAACCTTATTCCGATGATTCAGTTTTAGGAAGAAAATTGTAGCTTTTGTCTGAACTAGAAGAATAATTCTAGTATTATTGTAATAAGTCTCCAACATTTTGACTGATGCCTGTTGTTTCTGTATTTACCATTTTGTGGGATTATCGTTAGTTAGGAATGAGAGGAATTTTGGGGATTGTTCGGGGGCTATGGGATAGATTATGACTTTATGTATAATTGGAGATTGGGTTGCCCTACCAAAGAATTTAGCATCTTCCATTTGTTTTTAACTGAAAGCTGTTCATAATCTCCCAACCATGTGGGCTCAGTCTAGGACTCTTTGTCTGTGCCTTCTTTCATGTATCCTCTTGTCACTAAGTATTTTTATCATTTACAACTTAGTCTTGCTTCTTGCTTCGCTGTGCAAATGTCCAGAATCATTTATTAATACTTTAGTTCACAAATTGTTTTGGCAGGTATGCTGACCTTAAGAACAACAGGTTGACGAACTATACGTTCAATTTTGATCAGATGCTCAATGATAAGGTACACTTCCTCAACTGGTTCTAGGCGTAGCTTATAATTTACCGAAAGTCAAGTCAACAAGCTAAATGTAGCTTTACTGCCTCTGAAAAAAAAAAGGTCCATCGTCCACTCTACTTACACGCCCAAATTTTGTGTTGACTAGGGCAACACTGCTGTGTATTTGCTGTATGCCCATGCTCGTATCTGTTCAATCATCAGAAAATCTGGTAAAAATATAGAGGAGTTGAAAAAAGTAAGTTTTCTTCCAAATTCCTGAACATTTTCTTCTCAAGACTTTAGTTGGACTGGAGCAGCACTTTTGCGTTTATTTCGAAATTAAGTCTACCGTTATTTGATAGACGGGAACAATTGTGTTGGAGCACGAGGACGAGCGTGTATTGGGGCTTCATTTGTTACAATTTGCCGAGGTAAAGAAAACATACATTTGATTGACCTGAGTAACTGTGGCTTTGCGTCTGATTCAAACCATTTTATATTTGATACAAGTTATCGCGTGATAATTACTTTCCACTTTCTCTACTCTAGGTTGTGGAGGAAGCATGCACCAATCTGTTGCCGAATGTGTTGTGTGAATACCTGTACAACTTATCCGAAATATTTACGAAAAAATTCTATTCCAATTGCCAGGTATAGCCGACTTTTTGAGACCATTATCTCATTCTTAATGTATATATCATTATCCCACTAATTCATGTCGGAAAATTTCTAAATCATTAGCTCTTGTCGATTGATAGCTCGTGGCAGCTAATTATGCCTTGGTTATCAACTTAGTTACCTCTAATAACCTAGAATGTAAAGCTCCCTTTCTTAATCATTTTGCTTGTTTGTGCCATTTGCATCAAGACGTTTTTGATCTTTTCCCATCCTATGGAATGAGCTGGAAAAAGCTCACTAAATTTGTACTACCTCGACATTAATGCATTCTAGATGCCACCGACGTTTTCTCGCAAAAAGTTAAAACTTCATCAATGTTTGATGGTCTGATATTTGTCAGGTCGTTGGGTCAGCTGAAGAAACCAGCAGGCTCCTGCTCTGTGAAGCCACAGGCACAGTGATGAGGAAATGCTTCCATCTTCTTGGAATTGTACCTGTTTACAAAATATAACCCTCTGAAAAGCACAATTTGCAGATCCCCTTTCAGAAGACTGTTTTGATTTCCGTCACTTCACTATCCATCTCTGCTATCCTTTCCGACATTAGAGTTGCGCCTGAGCGAGGAAAGAAGAAAAACAAGGATCCATACAGAACATTGTAGTGTTTTAGTTTGGTTTAAGCTTATAAAGCTTTGGCCTTTAATCTATATTTCTATTGACCCTGGGAAGGCCCTTCTTATTTTGCTTCATTAATTGGCTCGTCACATTTCCCCTTCCCCCCGGTGTAATTTGTCCAAGATATTGAATCAGGCTGCTCAGAATCAGTTATAAACAAAATCAAAATTGTTCTTAGGAGTGGATGTTGTTAGATAACACTACAATATGTTATTGTCTACTTTAAGCATAAACTCGCATTGGGCTTCCTCAAAAATCCTCATACCAATGGTAATAGTATTCCGTGATTATAAACCCATGATCATTTCCTTAATCAGTAGACGTGGAACTTTGATCCAGCAGTGGGAAGATTTGTAACTCAGATTCTACTAATGATATGTGATTTTTAGGATTATCTTTATGCATTGCAATGTGAATTTTCCAGATTTGATAGCAGGTTCTACAAATTTTTTCTCAAAGAATAGAAGAGGGGAGAAATGAGCTTGAAAATGTGGTCAAGTCATTTAAGGGTAGCAAATAATCAGTGCCAATTCACAGAAACTGCAGACCTAGAACCACAAAGCAGACTCCTTTTCCCTCTTGATCTTGAAGCTTTCTTGGCTATGGTAGCTCTTGGGATAATGGATTTATGGCCATCAAATCCTCCTCCAACACTCATACAAGATTTGAACTTTTTTCTAATGGGAGAAACCCTCTTTGCTAAATCTTCTAATCTCTCTACACTTGCAAGAGATGTGAAAGATTCTGATTTGCCATCATAATATTTAGACAGCCCTCTCCTGCAAAAACAAAACCATTTCAAAATTTTCCCATCAGTCATATTGATCAACTCTTTCAATCAAAATGTGTATCCAAAGAAAGATCATGAAAAGGGTATGTGTTTTTTTTTTTTTTTAAATTTATCCCATTACTTACTTCATCGGAAGATGAACCATAAGCTCTGATAGCTCAAAAAGAGGTCCATTTGAAGAAGAAGATGATGATAATGAAGAATTCGAAACTGTAGAAAGGGCATCTTCCACCATCTCCATAGAAGAAGATGCTTCAGAATTTGCAGAACTAAACTCCATGGAAGACTCCATTGAAGCTTCACAATCTTCCATGATCGTTCTGCAACAACCACTCTGAGCTTCATCAACATAAAGACGCTGAGTTTCTTGCAATTCTCCCATTGGAATCAATCTGAAGGAGAAGAAGAAGAAAGGTATTATATATTGCAACCGTAGTATGTGCGTTTGAGAAGCTATTTATATATGCGTGGAAAGCTTAGTTTATAATTAAATGTAGCATAAAAGTTAGATAATTCTCCTTTTTGTTGCTTTATCCAAAAACCCAACCCTTTATCATCAATCAATAATTATCATCGTTTTATTATAAGATAAAATTGATGATAAAAAAAAATATAGATGGGGTCTGAGTTTTGTGTTGCCTTCTCCCATATTACTAGGAAAGAAGATAAGGTCTGAAATTTGGAAGACATATCCACAACGTACTGAATCCCCACCTCTCTCTGTCATTTTCTAGTAACATCTTCCTTACTTTTGCTTCATAAAGTCATGACATTATTCCATTCTTTTATGTTCATCTACATCATCAACCTTCCTCGAAGGAATAATTAAAGATTTAAAACACCCCCCTCCCTTTTTAAGATACCTTATATCAACTGAGATGGGAATAAAACGTTACCCATTCATGTCACATTAAAGAAAATCAAACTTCATTTATTATTAGATGGTTGCAAAGGTATGATACATGATAATTTGGAGTTATAGTAGCTAATTGTAGTCATGAAAGGTGAAATGCTTCGGGAAAGATTTAAAACACCCCACTCTTGAAATGCTTCCTGAAAAGTGAAGGGTTTTAATTCTAGGACTATAAAACTATGTATGTTGTTTCTGTAAGTAAGGGGCATTTGTGTTTTGAGCTAAGTTTATTTTTCAATTTTATGTAGTTTACCTGGCATGTTTAGAATTATTAAAGCTTGACATCATCGATTTTGCTTGTGAAGTGATTCAAATCTAAAACAAGTGTTATTGTCTACAGATATTTGATCAACACGGTAATTCAAATCTTTCTTTCTTTGTAGTGATTTCTTATTACTTACTCATCTCCATACCAATGTAAAAATGTAATATATGAGCGGAATTTGAAATAGGTCAAAATCACGATGGTTAATATCTCTACGCCAACGAATTCTAATCCAACACTTTAAAGAACGGTAATGCTATTTAGTGCACGAGACATTTCAATAAAACCAATATATCCAAATCGATTTACGAAATTTCCATTTATATAAAAAGAAAACTTTAGAAAGGAAAAACTTCTACACTTCAACAACTTGGGTTTTGAGGGGGGCTTCTATTTCAAGATAAACATTGAATATTTGGATAAACCAAGCTTTTCGGAAACCACATTTTTCAATAAAGATAAAGGTAAAGTTGTGCTTTGGAGTGTTTTCACCATGGTTAAATGTATTTTTCTCTTGACAACAAAGATCTTCCCCATAATTACTTTTTTAAGAAATACTTTTAAAATATTTTTATAATATGTGTACGTAACCTATTTTTAAGTCGCGTCATTAGAGATATCTACGGAGTGAAACGAGGACAAGCAAGTCTTTTCCACCACCTATTTTATTTCTCATCTTCATGAAATTTCTTATTTATTTTTGAGATTAGGGTCACGGTAGATATAATTATTTTAAAATTTTTATTTATCAATATAATCCATAATAAAAAATTGTAAAAAAAATCTAATAAATCAATATTTTATAAATGTTTTACCTAGTTTCTAAAATTTTAAATTTTAATAATAGTTTTTAACTATTCAAAAATAATTATGTAGGTCTCATTTATCTAATAGACAAAAAAAAGTTCTTCGCTCCATACTCTATTCTCGATTTTAACGAGAAAAAAATTTAAAAATTTGAATTTATTGATTCTCGCGTTATAAATTAGAGGGACTAATTTAAATTATAATTATTTTTTTAAAAAATTTAGAAACTAAATTTATACGATAAAGTGAGGAGATACGAAGGGAAAGTGGAGTTGGGCACAAGTCACTATGGACATGGAGATGGTTACTGCAAACAGCCATTTCCATCACTTTTCTGTTATCTAATCCACGCTGTCCCAATCTTTGTTCTTATCCATAATGTCGGGGAATTTCGGCCCAATAGGCTTAGAGTCGTCCGGCCCATTAACAATCTCACTTGGGCCGTTGGAAAATGAACCAACTGGGCTTTCTATTTTTCAAGGCCCATAATATTTGGGCTGGTCCATTAAATGACTAGACCAATTCCATTTCGGGAAAGGATGGAGTCGAGATTTATTCAAATGTTTCGAGTAAATAAGTCAAAAATAATTATTATATTATTTAAAGCAGGGAATTAAAATTCTCAAACTTTACATTAATTCTACATCGTACTAAAAATATTTAATGATTGCTCCTTTCATGTAAAAATTAAATATTTAATTTTACTGCTATATACAAATTTAATTTTAGAAAAAGACCATAAATTCATACATTATTTTTAAAAAAAAACAAAAAAAAAAAAAAAAGGAGAAGAAAAAACATGTTTTTTTAATTTGCTGAAAAAGAAAGAAATGGAACGGAACCGTTCCGGCGGGTAGTGAATGGAACGGTATATATAAATTAGTGGGGAACAGACATGCTGGGCACCGGAATCGAGGAATCTCAATAGACAATTTAATACTTTCCTCTGAAGTCCGGTCCCTATGCTGACACACTCCTTCCCCTGTCCCCGACACTCTCCATAGCCTCCGCCAGAGTGGCTTTTTAAGCTAATTTTGCTCTGTTTTAGCCTTAAACCATAATCTCGAGCTCTGTAATCCTCACAGTGGGTGCCTTTTTAGAAAGCAAAACGAGCCGTTGCTGTTCTAAACCAGAATCTTACAAATCCCTCGTTCCCATTTCTCTACGCAAACCCCGCAGCAAAGTTGGACTGAGACTTGAAGGCGTGGATTTCAGGTGATAACGAGAAAGGAGAATGGGGAAAAGGGCTGGATTCAATCTCATTTTCTATGGGTTTTCACTGCTGCTTATGTTCTTGGGTTTGTAGCTCTCTGTTTCTTCTTCGTGTTCTTCATTTTTGCTGTTCTGTTCACTGTTCTTGCTGTTCTGGGTGTGTTCCTCTTCGATTTGGTACCACATTTGACATTTCTTGCGGCGGTTTTGTCTGATTCTACTTGTTGGATCTTCCATTGGCATTGTTGCTACTTATTTAGCTAAACTGAAGTAAACTAATCATTATTCAACCTATTTAGTAACATATTTCTGTGCTGGTATTGATACAAATCATAGATTACAGAATAAAAGATTTGAAACCCTTTGTAAGAAAGGAAAGAACAAACCCTTTTGGTAGAAATCACCATTGTCTTCGTTTTCATACTTGAAATAAGGCTGTATGTTTCCTGCAGGCCATTGCCAGGGAAGTAATGTTGGAATTTGCTATGGAAGAAATGCAGATGACCTCCCAACACCAAATAAAGTGGCCCAATTGGTTCAACTTCATAACATCAAATACCTTAGAATTTATGACTCAAACATTCAGGTTCTCAAGGCCTTTGCCAACACCGGTGTCGAACTTATGATCGGGATACCGAATTCCGATTTGCTGCCATTCGCTCAGTTTCAGTCTAATGTAGATACTTGGCTGAAGAATAGCATTCTCCCTTACTACCCAGCGGCGAAAATAACATACATTACGGTCGGTGCCGAGGTCACGGAGAGCCCTCACAATGTGTCTGCCTTGGTGGTGCCTGCCATGAACAATGTACTCACTGGTCTTAAGAAGGCTGGTTTGCACAAGAAGATAAAGGTTTCTAGCACTCATTCGCTCGGAGTTTTGTCTCGGTCGTTCCCTCCCTCGGCTGGCGCTTTTAGTAGTGATTTTGCATTCTTCTTGAAACCATTGTTGGAGTTTCTTGCTGAGAATCAGTCTCCTTTTATGATCAATATTTATCCTTATTATGCTTACAGAGAATCCCCTAGCAATGTGTCATTGGACTATGCTCTTTTCGAATCGTCATCTGAAGTTATCGATCCGAATACTGGTCTGCTTTACACAAACATGTTTGATGCTCAGATTGATGCTCTTTATTTTGCTTTGATGGCTCTAAATTTTAGAACAATTAGAGTGATGGTCACAGAAACAGGTTGGCCATCTAAAGGGTCACCAAAGGAGACAGCTGCAACTCCCGACAATGCGCAAACTTACAACACGAATCTTATCCGACATGTTATTAATAACACCGGGACGCCTGCAAGGCCGGGGGAGGAACTGGATGTATATATCTTCTCTTTGTTTAATGAAAACAGGAAGCCAGGGTTGGATTCTGAAAGGAACTGGGGATTGTTCTATCCAGACCAGACCAGTGTCTACAACTTGGATTTTACAGGAAGAAGTGCAGTAGACATGACTTCACAGGCTAATATGACTGGTTCTAATGGAACCGACTGGTGCATTGCTTCGAGCAAGGCGACCGATATGGACTTGCAAAACGCGTTGGATTGGGCTTGTAGTTCGGGGAATGTCGATTGCACTGCCATCCAGCCAAGCCAGCCTTGTTTTGAGCCAGATACTCTTGTTTCTCATGCATCTTATGCGTTTAACAGTTATTTCCAGCAGAATGGAGCTACTGATGTTGCTTGTGGCTTTGGAGGGAATGGAGTTAAAGTTAGCCAGGATCCAAGTAAGTCAGTGTTATTATATATCTGTTTGCTAGATATAGTGTTTTTAACCCCGTGTCCAAATTCCCTTTGAAATCCCGACTTTTGAGGTTAAGGCCCGGGGTTTTACCTGACCCTTCAACAAGCCTATCCTTGACACTCATGTCTTTTCATTGTCCCATCTTGCTTATGCCTCCTTTCCTCTTCAATGCTCACATTATATGATGTGTTTGATGATGCGCCATCTTCCGTCGCATCATGATATTCTTCTCTATTGGCCCTCGCGTGACTGAATGGGAACTTTTTGAGGATCGACGCTTTACTTGTCTCAATGTGACGGTCACAACCTCCTCGCTTCATAGTATGGTTGTGACATTCTCCCCCTCTTAAATTAGTCATCGATGAGTATTTCGAGGCCCAATCGCGGATTGTTCATGTAATCAACTTAGTTATAAGACCCACGAGGATCAAGTTTTTGCCTGATATTCTTTTAGCTGCCCGGTTTGGTTCCTAAACTTGAGTTTGTAACTTGTCTTTGCAGGCTATGACAACTGCGTGTACGCGACCGTTGTTGGGTAAGCTCTTTCTTTTGGAATGGAAGCAAACTTGACATTATTTTGATTGTTCGTTTCATAAATTTTCTTGTTTATTGTTTAATGGTTATGCAGGAAGAACAAGACGAGTTCTTCCAGTAATACAACAGCAATGTCCTCAACTTCATCATCATCTTCTTCAGCGATTGGAGTTTCTGCAGGTCTACTTATCTTGGCCTTCCTATCATGTTTTTTCAAAATTTCATGATGATGGGGTCAGCCAAGTCTTCTGAAAATCTCAGATTTTCCTTATTTTGTAATTGAACTTGTAACTTCACCTTGTAAGAAGGGATCTAAGGGGAGTTCGAATTTCTAATCAAATGATTTTTTTGGTCTTCTCTATTCTACTTCTGAATATGTATAGAAAAGTTCATCAAAGTTACCAAAATAATAACTCCCTGAATCTAAAGTCAAGTGTGATCATAATACCATATTTAAAATTTTGAAAAATATAACAAAATATCTGCAATTTCTAGTCAGAAGGATTGGGAACAGTTGGGAGTTTTTAGGGTTGCAGAGTCCAGAAGCAATCTCTCAAAGCGAACTATCCTTCGCAGTACAAGATTCGGGTAATCCAAATTGCTACAACGAAAGACATGAGCACCTGCTGATCGCTAATCATGACATAAATGCAACATT